GTTCTCAGCTTACGTTAAGCCCCACCTGTAATACTGCTTCCAGGCCTGCCCGCCCTGCCTCGTTTGGGACAAAATGGAGCTCGAGAGGTTTTGAGAGTAGGTACCAGGTTGGCCGAGGGGTTACGGGAGCAATCGTGCTCTGAGCGTCTACTTAGCTTGGGTATGTACTCAACGCACTACCGACGGCTTCAAAGAGACCTAATCCTTACTTACTGGATTTAACAGGAAAGGTTGGACCCGACTTGAGCTGGCTAGTTAGCTCGGCTAGGTTGCCATGTCTTCGCGGTCATCCCATGAAGCTAAAGAAGCCGCGTTCTGACCGGATCAGAGCGGAAATTCGGCTATCACGTATAGTTATCGAGCACTTGAATCCGCTTCCAGAAAGTGTAGTCAGTGAACCTACGGTTGAAGGGTTTCGAGCGTCAGTTGGACGCTCTTAGGTGGCAACACAAAACTTTTCCCTCCTCCTGACCATATCCATCTGCAAACTTTTAGTTCTTACTCTGTCGCCCACTTAACTCTTTGGCGTTATCCTTCAGTTAAATGACTTTCGTTCCCCTATATCTTCCATTTGCTTCCTACTTCTGTCTTGCTTCACGTGACCTACACCGCCGGGATCGCTAGTGCAGGGAACGTGGGCAGTAATTAATGGACCAGGGTGTGTTTCGGGTGTTTCGTTTTAGTTCTATCAAGACCTGGCACCTTATCATTTCTTAGCTCAACGATCCGCTCAAGAAGGAACATTCAAGAGATTTTCCTATCGTTCCAGTCCCTCTGAACGGATAGCGCCACCACCACCCGACGCCACCTTGGTACTGAAGCTTCGAATTTCGTCATGCCCAACTCACTCTGTTTACACAGCTCAAAACTGGTTACTCAGGGCATTCAGTGTATCGCTTGTAAATTCTGGGTCTGTGGTCACGAGCGTTGTTCGCAAGTTACGGATTCGCTTTTTAAGATCTACGCTGAACACAAAGGCCTGTTATGGGTCTGTCGGTATTGCATTGATGCAGCTGCACTGGCAAGACGACCGCGGCTTCAGAATCTTGAGATACTCATCCGTTCCTACGGCTAGAAGAGCCAGGAAGTGCAGCGCGGTATCCCCCGGCGACCATCCAAAGAATACGACCAACCAAGTAGAAGACCTGTGTTGCACCTGTCCCCCCGACAACCTGAATACGTTGCCCACAGTTACTCCATGCAGCGGGATTTTATCAACTGGGAAACCGGAGCAAGCACTACGGATCTCTGACGAGCCACCGCTTGCTACAGTCGCCGATCATGGAACCAGAAACGGGGCACCGTGGATTGTTGCGGGAAAGTGACCTCCCGTTTTGACTCCGGACACCATTACGCGGCCGCCCGTATTGACCGAAACTGGTCTGATCCATCCTCGTAACCATTGTCTACTGATCTTTCATGCCCCGGAGTCAGACAGCTCCGACCCGCGAATTCGTTATGAGCATGATGTCGCGTTCTAACAAAATTTGGTTGATAAACTCCTGGACCCCGATGAGCTAGGTATGCATATAAAACGAGTATTACGCGTGGGAAAACGAACGGCAAACACGCCTCGTCCGTTGCGAATTGTTTTTGAAAATGACGTCACCCCAGCGCGTCTTCTGTCCCGACTTTGGCGTCTAAACGGCCTGAAAATCCACGTGCGTGCCGACCTCACTTTGAAAGAAAAAACCGCCTTCAAACTGCTACCATTGAACTTAAACGGCGAACTGAACAAGGTGAGAGCAACATACATATCGTAAATTTTCGAGTAGTGCGGAAGCGCCAGCTGATAAACAAGCCGGTGTTGCTGATGGCGCGCGCCCCAAGCTAGTTGCCGGTCTCACTGTGGCGCTTACGAACGTTCGCAGCCTCACCAATAAATTTGAAAAGGTGCATCTCTGGGTAGATCAACATTGCCCAGATTTATTTTGTCTGACTGAAACATGACTCCACGGTGATATTACTGATCCTGAAATTCGTATCGATGGATACACGACATTTCGGTGCGAACGACCCAAGTGCGCTCATGGCGGTGTATTGTTGTATATAAAGTCCAGCACGAGAGGGGGACTCATATCTACACATTATAGTGCCGACGGCCTATGCGAACAACTTTGGTGCAGAGTTACTGTTGGGCCGAATGAACCGAGAGTGGGAGCCATTTATCGGAGTCCTTCAAACATTTCCCGTGATTGGATCGACGTAGTGCAGCAGCGCTTGAACTGCCGAAATTTTCTGTTGCTTGTTGATTTTAACTTTCCACACGTTGATTGGCCGCATTATAAAGCTCTACCTGGCAGTAGCAATTTCGAATGCGCTTTTGGCGATACAATGGCGGAGATGCACGCTGTGCAACATATCCTGCAACCAACAAGGCAGCTTCCGGGGCAACCTGAAAGCTGTCTTGATCTCCTTTTCACGAACGATGAGCAACATGTCTAATCCGCTAAATTATTCGAACCCATTGGGTTCAGCGATCACTCCACGATTTCAGCCGTCCTACTTTTGCCATCTGTTGTATCATTACGAATACCCCGTCGTAACCTTTAAAAAGCAAACTGGGATCGGTTGATGAGTACTGCGAAATACATGGACTTGTCATTACCTTTGAATGACGGTGTTGAAGTGTGTTGGGGGGTGCTGCAGCAAAACCATGTTCAGTTACTAGACCAATTTGCTCCTTTAACACCAATAAAATGTTGGAAGAGGCAGCCATAGATGGATAGCGAATATGTTGTCATGTCGAGGCGACGTGCAAAATTGTGGAAGAGGTTCAAACAAACTCATAGCGCCGAAAATTACACAGCTTATAAAACCCAAGGAAACTGTTGCAATTCAGTGAAACTAAAGAAGCATGCGGCTTATGAAACAAGCTTATCAGCAAATGGGAAGGAGGCACCCAGAAATGGTTTTGCATACATTAAGTGCAAGCTTAAGCCAACTGACGAGTTACCTGCTTCGGAAAATTCGCTTGGTGCACTGTTGACCGCCGACAAGGACCGAGCTATCGCACTTGCTTCACATTTCGAGTCAGTGTTCGAATCAGCTTCTCCAGAATTTCAGTGTACCCAAGTCGACGCCAAACTGGATACAGTATCCTGTTCAGAGGACCAAGTAAGGGGATTGCTTGCTAATCTAGACTGCTCCAAACCTGACGGCTTGCATCCACTACGTCTCAAAAGGCTGGCACCGGTCATCGCACCTGCAGTTACAGAATTGTTCGAGGACTCTTTGGCACTAGGGAAGGTCTCACGTGGATGGAAGAAAGCGATCGTACGGCCCTTCTCGAAAGGAGGAAACAGAAGCAGAGTAGAGAACTATAGACCGATTTGCTTGACACCAGTGCTAGCCAAATTGCTGGAGAAAGTGGTCAAGAAAGCGCTGCTTGAGTTCACAGAATCACACGTAATGCTAACATCAGTTCAACCTGGTTCCCTAAGAGGACGGTCTTGTACCATGAATCTTCTGACTACCCGACACAGTTGGATTGAAGCAGTAATTGACGGTAGAAGCGTTGATGCCTTGCTGATTGACTTTAGCAAAGCATTTGAAAGAGTGAATAACTTTAGCTTGCTATCAAAACTCAACAGTTATGGCGTGGGTGGAAAATTGCTGAAATGGATTCAGTCTTTTCTGGACAAGCGGCAGTGGTGCGTCCAGGTCAATGACTACCGAACGAAATGGTGTGCTGCCTCTAGTGGTGTGCCACAGGGCACAGTAATTGGCCAAACGCTTTTTCTGTTTCATATCAACGACTTACCATGACGTTTAACATCTACTTGCGCGCTGTTCGCAGATGATTTGAAAGTTTGGAGAGAAATACCGACCCCCGTCGATGAGGATATACTGCAAATTGATCTCGATACAATCTCCTCATAGGCATCAACAAACTGCCTTCCACTGAATGCTAAAATTCCGAAGTGCTCCGCATTGGCAAGTGCTGTCGGGACAGGATTTACAACGTCGGTGGACGTCTACTGTGCTCGGTTGCGACAGTTAGAGATCTTGGAGTACTATCCCGATGGGACTTAAAATCGTCAGACAATAGGCACAAGGTCCACTGTTCCAGCCTTCGCACGCTTTGGTCATTAAGGCGGACCTTCCACGTTTGGTCGGAGGAAATTGCTGTCAGGCTATACATCTCAATTGTGCGCCCGCTTTTAGAATGCGGGGCACCGCCCTGTTATCCAAGTACAAAAAGTGAGATGAGAAAACTGGAAAAAGTCCAGCACCTAGTCACCCGCCTGATCCCCACGCTCCGAGGCTTATCTTACCACAAGAGGTGCCACAAGTTACGTCTCCATACACTAGTATACAGGAGATTACGAATTGACCTCATTACAACGTTTAGAATCCTTCACCTGAGACATTTTCCTCACCTGAGACATATGTTCTGTATTGTGGATGCACCTAGCACCCGAGGGCATTCGTACAATCTGGAAGTTCCACGTATGGACAATGTCACTCATATTCATTGTTTCGCGCGACGTGTGATACATTTCTGGAACTGGTTGCCCAGTTCCGTTGTTCTTTCTGCTTCAGTGCAGTGTTTCAAACGAAGCCTTGACAAACATTTTTTAGACTTGTGTTTCGATGCAGACGCCATGTTTGACCTCCTTTCGTAGCGTGGTTATGTCACGGCTACACTATCAACCCTAAAAGACAAAGACACGTAGTGCTTTCTTTGTGCTTATATATCGATATTTTGTTTGCTTATTACTAAACGACTATTGATGTGCATTCACACAGAACCATATCCGGCGTGGGTCGTTTTTGCTTTACTTATGATGGAGATCACATAGATTCCTATCTTATTCTCCTAATAAATTGATTCTGATTCTGAACCGCGACGCCGTTTATCTGTGCCACACATCACTACCGAGTCGCAATCTACAACCATTGAAACCTACCGAAAACAACAGGACCCTAACGTAAGGTCTTGAGGCAGACCTATCACAAAGCTAACCTTACTCATACTGCACAAACCCATGTAACCCATTGTGGGTGTGCGCTAATCTCAGTCAGTGACCTTGCCAAAATATCTGTCGATCCTAATTATGGCAGATAAGCGAAAACTGCAGAGTGATATTGACAGGACGCTTAAGCGGGTGCAAGAAGGACGGTCTGCATTCCAGGTAACTGTAAGAATTCAGGTGCTCTACTACGCGCTAGTTGCTTGACCTATTTGTGTGGCACGGTCGCCCACCACTACATAAACATTAATATCCTTAGTGATTTGTGTGCATATTTACATACCAATTGGTTAGTATTATTGCAGTCGCTAGAAAATTGACTTTCGATCCCTCATCCGACTTTGTGAATCTGTCGGCAGCAAGCGCATCCATCGAGTAGGCATTTGGAGAAAGGCAAGTACTTTGCACCACGCTGGTCTTGCTAGATCTATCCTGGTTGTGTCCAACAATCCTGTCTACCGTGACTAACAGCTCAGCCTAGCCGGCTTGTTCGCAGGCCGTACCAGGGGTCGATGTCAAATGGTATCGGTCACTCTACCTTCTGTACCTAGGTCAGTTTCCAAGGACGAAAATAGGCTCCCGCCTAGCGAGCGTCCTGTTTCTAGTACCGGAAAGCAAACTCACGCATTAAGTACTTCGACTTCTAAGTTGTCTTCCTTGCCTTTGTTAACGTGTTACCATGACACCCGCGGTCCGGCTACACTGGCTAGGTCAGGTCAGGTTCCCAGAACGGTATAGGCTTCCGTCTAACGAGCATCCTGCTTCTTGCATCAGCAAGCAACCAAAGGCCCCCCGGTACTTCGCCTTCCAATTGCAATTTTTTGCTTCTGCTAAGGAAACGAAGCAAAAAGAAGCAATCTTGTACGTTCATTATTCATGAGTTCCCTGCAACGAGCATCACTAAGTTTACAATAGTTCTGGATTACACCAGTAAATGGGCCTCAGATTCAGATTGGACTGGATCGATAGGAAAATCCACGGAGTGTTCCTTCTTGAGCTGGTCGTGTAGCCAGGAAGTGATAATATGCTTCTTCGTCTTGATGGATCTAAAACGAAACAGCGGAACCATACCCTGGCCGGGGGTCTGCGCGCCTGGTTTGCAACCATTTAGTCTCTGGTACGTATCTGCGTACAGGTGAGCGTCCTCGTGGTGTACTCAGCTCGCACGCGACTGATGGTGTTCGCACGGAAGCGAGGCGCCGTTACGTCGCACAACTGATATTTTAATGTTATTTTCGCTCTGGTCAACCAATTACTGCCCGTGTTCCCTGCACCAGCAGCCTCCGCTGTGCAGGTCACGTGAAGTAAGAAAGGAAAATGGAAGATAAAGAGAAAAGAAAGCCATTTGAATGAAGGATAATACCAGCGAGTGTTGAGAAGCACAGAATATGAACTCAGAGTTCAAGTTCGCTTGGGAACGTAACAGTAGGAAAATCCCGTGAATGTTCCATTTTCGAAAACGTCGTTGATCCAACAGGGAATCCGATGCATTGATGTGCCAAAGGAGATCCAAATCAACACACACGATTCACATGGTCAACCAAACAATGCCCATGTGCCCTGCACTAGCAGTCCCCGCTGTGCCGACCACGTAAAGAATAAAACGAGCGGAAACAAAAGGTTAGACGCGCTTATCGAATTTCGCGGGCAATATTAAGATGTAAGTTAAACATCAGTTAAAGAAGCGTAGGCCGTAGTAGACGAGTACAAGCTTAAGGCATGAAGGGGAAAACTTTAAACTGCGGACCGAGAGCCTCAAGTCGATGCTCGAACTCTCTCACCGTCGGTGCCATCACGACGTCTGCAGCCAGTGCGTTCCAATAAGCTTTGACCCTACGCGATAACCGAAAGGGTGCCCAAACCCGGTCGTACCGGGGTTTGGGCAACTTTTCTGCGTGACCACGAAGGGTTGGCGCTCGAGTTGCACGAAGCAGTCCGGACATATCAGGACCAATCTGATCCACCAGTATACGATACGTGAGGACCAAGTCGCCACGAAGCCGCCTGTAATACATGGAAAACATATCCAACTTACGTAGCCTCTCCGGGTACCTCGGCTTCTTTAATCCGGGCACCATTTTCGTTCCGGACCTCAGGACTCGTTCAACTGCCATCTTATCATGAACCAGGCATGGAGGACAAGCCTGGACACAGTATTCCAAGTGCGGCCTTGCAAAAGCCAAAAACAGTTTAACGAACATTTCGGTGATCGTGATCCCGAATGACCTGTGGATCATCCACAAAATGTTGCAACCTTTGCGCACAACTATCGTCCAGTGTTCATTGGACTTAAAGTCTGATGACAGCAAAGCTCCGAGGTCAGATTGGCGTTAAACTCGCGGTACCTCGTTGCCGTCAAACAGATAACGCGTCGGCGGGTCATTCAGACCAACGCGAAAAACTGAATATTTCCCTAAATTAATGAGCAACTACCACAAAAGGGACCAGTCCCAAAGTCTATCCAGAGCCCTCTATAAGGTCAGTGGACCAATCGAATCGTCTATTGTTAACCAGAGTTTCAAGTCATCCGCAAACATTGGGGATGGCACACCCATTTCATCGGGTAGCTCATTAACGTATAAAGTGAAGTGGAGGGGGCCAAGGACTGAACCTTGCGGGACGCCACGGAGAGCACATTGGCGGAAGACCAAGCTTGAACCCATCTGCACACACATTTCCCTTCCGATCAGGAAAGCTGAAGTCCATCGTAAGACTGGTCCAGAAATACCGTAGGACTCCAGATTCTACAATAGACGAGAATGTGGAACAGTGTCAACAGCTTCGGAAAAGTCACTGAACAACACATCCACCACCTTCCCGCAATCAGCGGCTTCGGCCCAGTATTCGCGAGCCGTTAACAAATTAGTAAGGCAAGAATACCCCTTACGAAAGCTGTGCTGAGAGGGAGTAAGCAACTCAAACGCTCTCAAATGTCCTTCGAGAGCGTCCCTCACGTGTTTTTCCAACAACTTGACCAGCACGCTTGTCAAACTGACCGGTCTATAGTTATCAGGGAAGTGTTTGCCAGCTTTCTTATAAATGGGACAAGCAGCCTCCTTCCAGTCAGTGGGTAGAGAGTACGTGCTTAGAGACTTCGCAGAAAGTTGTGTACTCGGAGGTCAAAGTTCATCGGCCAACTTGTACGACAGTTTGGGATGAATAACATCCACACCGGCAGCTGTATGGGGATTTACTTCCCTCAGAAGCCGTAGCACTTGAGTCTCCGTTATGGAAATCTCCAAGATGAAGCCCTCAGGAATGTTTGCCTGCAGGCTGATATGCGGCAGCTGCGACTCTCGAACATCAACCCCAACATACTGTCCTCCGAGCAAACAAACTTTTTCGTTATCTGTGAGAGCAGCAAAGCCGTCAGGGCCAAACAACATTGGGATGCACGCGTTCATGTTGCTTCGCCTTTTGACATACGCGAAGAAGCGTTTCGGGTTTGATGAGGCTGTACAAGCAAACTCTACTTCATGCTGTAGTCGAGCACCTCGTAGATGGGGCCTGCAGGCAGTTCGAGCCTCAAGATATCGTTTGAAGGTGCATGATGAAGGAGCAGATAAGTAAGTACACCAACATCTGGCACGTCTGTTAAGTTGTTTGCTAACAGCGGAATCAAACCAGGGTGGCTTTGCCCTGTTTTTTATTCCTACCCAAGAGTGGTATATGGGGGAGAGAAAGCTCACTCAAGTATGATTTAAATCTGTCCCAGGCCGTTTGAATGTCGTCACTTACCAAAATGATCCAAGACGACTTTGCGGCCTTGGCTTTCATTGTCTGAAAGTCCGCGCGCCAGATGTTTGGAACTCGGTCTGGATGATCATTAGTCTGACGACTAAGGGCGCACTTAAATGAGAGACGTGTGGTCGCTGGCACCGACAAATAGGTTGTATATAATACCCGTGACAAAATCAATGGATTTAGCGAAAATCAAGTCCTAGAGGGACGGGTTTTGACTCGTCATGAATCTAGTGGACCGATCGACAAACTGGTGCACGGGAGCATGCAAGACCAGCTCGAGAAGCTCGGTACTCAAACACCTTGTAACAGTACCGCAGGAAAGATTCTGCCAGTCAACGTCGGGAAGATTAAGGTCCTCGATCACGAAATACCTATTTGCCGAATGTTCACGGATGAAATCAACGAGACCCTTAGCAACTCTGTCCGGGCACAACTTTAAGTTGCGCGGACGCACTACACAGGTTAACTGCGATTGCCTCAACAACACCGTCTGGTGCTCGGAAACTATACGTCTTAAAGACAGTAATTGCGCAGTTAACGTACAAAACAACGCCACCTCGGCACCGATCAGAGGTGCTGTCAAACCTCAGCAGTGCGTAGCCTGGCAAGCACACTTCACTGTTCGTGACGTCTGTGGACAACCACGTTTCAGTGAATGCGATAACATCAGGACGGCAGTCCTCGACAAGGGCGCCAACTTTGTACAGCTTGTTTCGCAGGCTACGCACATTGTTTAAGATCACCTGAAGGGATTTAGCATTGTGAGTCCGGGATCGTGCGCCACCAGAACCTGCTCCGGCAAGGCGGAAGTGGACCGCCTGCTCACCACCCGAAAACCCACCAAACGGAGACCCTTTCTTCTGCTTCACGACGGGCTTTAAGACCTCACACAGCCCGCAATTTCAGCCTATCTGCCAAAGGGAGGTCTGGGTGCACAATGACACCAATGCCCTTGAGCTTAATGCTAAACGCAGAAGTGCTTGGCGCTCCTCCGGAGTGGACAGAACCACTCGCAACAAGCGAGGGCGAGACTTGTCAGCTAGCAAGTTACCGAGCTTGGTTAGCTTGCGCACGGTCACGCCTGTGAAGCCGGGCGGCAAGAGTTCGGTGACGCATATTCTAAACCACTGTAGGTCATCCAGCATGCAGTCTTTTGGGAAAACAGCAGATGACTCAATGGCGTTTATGAACATAACACTGCAGTTGGTACATGAGTCTCCACGACACGGAGTATTTACCGAACGCTCCATGGATGTCGGTAGTTTTAGTTTAGCATCAATTTTTATAGACTCAAATGTCGTAGATGATCCCAGCTGCAACGATTCAGCAGTAGGAGTTAGCGGGGCCTGGGGATAGGGCACCCGACGGACTTCTCACGTCTGCCTTGGGTTTCGCCGTTTTTTTAAACCATTTTTTGC